CCAGCCAGCCAGCCAGGTGCGGTCTGTGTTTCCTTGTCCGTGTGGGTGAGCTGGCCGCCGCTGGTGCTGGGCGGTGGGGAGGCCGCAGAGGCGGCTGTGGTCCGTGTGCACGGTGCCAGGCAAGTTCCGTGAAATCGCCTGGTTCGGTCACCTTCTGGCAGAAGAACCTGGTGTCTTCCTGTGCGTCTGGCAGACACACCAGCCACGCAGGTGGGTTAGGTTAGGATGCATGGGTCACAAGTCATGGTTCCTATCGGTTATAAAGTAGATGCTTATTCCTCTTAAATGAGATCCCTCCTGAGGCCCTCCTGGTGCCAGGCCCGCAGACACCAGCGGCCCGCGGACGCCAAAAACCCTCCTGAGCGCTTTCCTCTCTTCCGGGCAGCAACATTGCAGGCGCGTTTTGTAAGAGGCGGCATGTGCACTCACAGGGGAGACTCGGGACCCGTGAAGGGCCTAGAACAGCGGTCGGCAAACTCATTAGTCAGCAGAGCCAAATGTCAACAGGTCAACGAGGGACATTTCTTGGTTGCACTCAATGGTCCCAACCCCTGTTCAGCCCTCGCTAACCTCACTTTTATACGACAGCTGCTCTAATATTGAATCCTTAAAAAAAATATATATATATATTTTATTGATATTTTACAGAGAGGAGGAAGGGAGAGAGATAGAGAGCTAGAAACGTCGATGAGAGAGAAACATCGACCAGCTGTCTCTTGCACACCCCCTACCGGGGATGTGTCCGCAACCAAGGTACATGCCCTTGACCGGAATCGAACCCGGGACCTTTCAGTCCGCAGGCCGACGCTCTACCACTGAGCCAAACCGGTTTCGGCCCTTTTCTTTTTCTTTTTTTTTTTTTTTTTTACAGAAATGTTCCTCTTCTGATAACACGGAATAATGTCACTTAGAGTAGAATATAGGCAATCGTGTGTTTCTGGTCCGTGTGTCGGCGAAGGCCATGTAAAGAGGCACTTGGAGGACGGTGGGACGCCGCGGCTGTGACTGCTCCTGCTGAGGGAGCGGAGGTATTAAGTGCGCTATCTGGGCCGCAGCACTTAATTGCCGTCTCGGCAGCGCCTAAGAATAGCTCAGCCCCTCCCGAGGCCCTTTCTCCCCTGAGCGCACAGACACAGCGGGAGGGGCCTTGAGAGCCGTCTTCAGGGTGGACATGAGAGGCAGTCATTTTTACTGCATGTAACAACACTCCATCCTGTGCTACATGTATTATGGATGGCATTACTCACAGCCAGATTTCATATGTCATTGGCCTTACATTTTTTTCAGCTTCTACTTCTCCTTGCAATGTACAAATGGGGTTGGGGCCGGGGAGGGGGGCGAAGGAAGAGGGGTGATGGTTCTGAGTTTGACTTACCCTTGGGCTCCCCGACTGTGCTGAAGGACAGGGGCGAGCAGTCCACTGTCTTATGCCCCATCTTGACCCTCACTGTGCCCGGGCACCTGGGGGTCAGCGTTGGGTCACAGAGGACTCAGCTCCTGGACTTGGCATTTCCTACTCCTCATCCCCATGTGACATCCCTACCCCCTGGTCCCAATCCCTCCCCATCTTTGGGGTCTCACTTTAATGTACCAGAGTCTCTGTCAGCATGGGCACGAGCCACCTGCCCAGCTCCGAGGGCCTCACCCGGTGCCCCTGGCCACAGGGCGGGTGAGTCACTCCCTACGGGCCAGACACAGCTCACAGGCCGAGCTGAGAGCAGGGCACATTATATTTTTGGCCAAAAGATGAAGCAGCAGTTATAAGCCTTTGTCTTCGGGAAAGGACTGATGTTGCCAGGCACAGAGGGGGACACCTCTCTGCGCTGGGACCAGAGTGGCTGCCGGGGAACTCAGGGTGCCTGCGCCCCGACCACACGGGGGGCCCTCCCTCGATTAGTGCCATGAAAGCGCTGTAGGCTGCCCGTTGCTGTTTCTAGCATGGTGAAAGGTTGTCCAAGGCTCTACTCACTTGTTTTAGATTATAGATTATAGATTATAGATTATAGATTATAGATGATTATAGAGTATAGAGTATGGATTAGCAAAATCTTCAATAACCTCAAAATCAAAAGAAAACATCTGTGATCCTTGCTTAACAGCTTGGGTTTGGAGGTGGTCGTGTGGAGGGTGGGACTCCGCCTGAACTTCCCAGGGTCACAGGCTGGGCTGGCTGGGCCACGCCGGCTGCCGTAGAGGCTGGAGGAGCCGAGGTGACCCTGGGGGTGGGTGCTCCGGGGGGCACGCTCTTTGGACCGCTGTTTAGTGCATTTTCACACTGAAAGGGAAGTTTGACCACCTACTTAAATGTCCCTGGAGACAGCTGGGCTCTGAGGCAGAGTTCTCAGGGGCCAAAGGCAGGTTTGTGTGCATGCTTCCGCCAGGGTCTGCACCTGACGGGGTCTGTATCTGCTAAAATGTGCACCTGTTGGCGTCTGCACCCTCCAGGGTCTGCATATCCTGGGATGTGCACCCACCGGGGCGTGGGCCTGGAGCTTTGCTGTTTCCGCTCCAACAACCCAGGCCCCTGTGCAGGCAGTGGTTTGCTAAGCTCCGAGGAGGACCGGAGGATGAAAGCCTGGAGGGGAGAGGGGAGCGGGGAGACTCCTCACGGTCCGCGTGAAGAGGCTGCGGGATGAAAGGCCGCACAGCAGGTCTATCGCTGGAAGCAAAAATAGTGGAAACCGACCGCTCTCAGGACCCAGAGGAGGGGAGTGGGCGGCGCCGTCAGACTCGGTGGGGGCGGGAGGCGTGCAGGCTGGCGGCCCCAGGAGCTCTGTCCCCGCCGCGGGCCGCCCACACTGTGGCCTTGGCCGACCGGGCACAGTGGGCACCCACCCCCGGCACCAGGAGGGGTCGGTGCCCAAGGGGCAGGAGACAGGAACGTGCCGTTGGTGGCAGAGGAGGGAGGCGGCCGCGATCAGGGAACGATAGATACACTTGGGGGCAGTTTCCGTCCCTGCCTCGAACAGCCCGGGATGCAGAGGGTTTTGTTATAACAGACGACTTACGTTCTGTGTCACCTTTAGAAAAGTCACAATGCTGACATTCCGCCTGTTTGCTTTCTGCATACATACATCAGCTTTCTTCCCATTGTGACTAAGCGGTGGATTTAGAGAAATCCATTTATCTATCGCCTGTAATCGCTACAAACCCATCATCATCATAATAGTCCTGTCTTCGTGTGCGTGTACGGGAGGTGGGTGCAGACGGAGGGGCCCTGGGACCCTGGTGCCCCTCCCATCACAGCCAGTCGCACTGCCCGGTCGCACCCCCGGCACCCCAAGGGCCCCTCCTCTCAGCACCCTGCCCTGTGCTCCCAGCAGGACTGGGCAGTGACCATGTCCAAGGACGGGGAGTCTGGGCTCTGTGCCGGGTCCCCTCACCCAGCTGCAGCCAGGGCCCCCCAGCACCCCATCAATCCCTCCCCCACCCCCCGGCTTCTCCGGGGCTGCCTGGGTCTTCCTAGCCTCTGCCCTCCACTGGCACCTGGGCCGCGGCCTGTGCATTTCCCCTCGGGCAGCGTGAAGGCTGGGCTCCGGCCGCTTTCCCGGGACCCTGTCCCCTCCAGGCTTCAGCGCGTCCAGGGGCCTGAGACTCAATGCGTTCTTCAAGCCTCATTTACGGCCGCGGACAGTGGGCCTGAGTGTGTCATCTCCATTACCTCCAGCATAAACGGCATTTCCCCTTGTTATCTCGGCTCTCGGAGGAGCCCGTGCTGCCTACACGGACAGATCATCGCAGCCCTCCCTGGAGGCGGCCTCTCGCCCCGAGCGCAGCGCCCGTGTCTGTTTTCCTTTCGTGTGAGTGAGGCGGTTGTGCTGCTCACCGGGCCTTCCGGAAATTACTCTAAGGTGGTGCTCACGGCGAGAATGCTGGGCCCTTCTTCTCCTTCAGACATCTCTGTAGGTGGACAGTTCGTCATGTGTCATTGGAGGGGAGACCATGCGCACATACGAACGGGGCCCCTGGATTGTGGCCAATGGGAAATGCGCCCCAGGGGCTCCCCCACATCCTCCTCGGGCCCCTCCAAGAACCGAGGTCACAGGAGAGTCATCTTATCCCTGCATGGGTCCCCAGCAATGACCCGTCTGCTGAGCTCATTGGCCTTCCATTGGCTGTGGGCCGAGGCCAGGCGCACTGGTGTCGCTGTGGATTTTCTTCGTAAACCCTTCCCGAAAGAGCCAGTGGTCTGCCAGAGCCAGGGCCTCCTCGTCCCACTGCCCCTCCGAGCGACGGCACCTCCAGGGCGCGGTGTGAACCGTCTGTGGGTCGGGGTCCTCTTGGTCTAATTCTCCGGAGAAGGCTGGTTCCGAAGGGACGGTCTGCCAAAGGCCACGTAGCTTTCAGAACAGGAAGGTGATTCTCTCTCCTGCCTGCTCCTGGGGGCTAGTCCGTGTCCTGGAGTAGGGAGTGAGCGCCCGAAGAATGTTCTCGCCGGCCCTCCGAGGTCACCATGTCTGTCTTGTGTGGCTTTGGGCTATAAACAGTTCCAGGTGTCCTGTGCACTCACGGAACCCCAGAATGGGAAGGAATTTAGGAGATTGTTTTATGAGGAAACTGAGGCCCAGAGATGTTAATATTACTGAACTGAAATTAGATTGAATTTCAGAATCACTCTTCGAATTAGGAGATGCTGATATATTTCTCATGCCTTGTTTTCTTTTCTTAAAAAATTTTATGTTGTTATTGATTTCAGAGTGGGAGAGATAGAAACATCAGTGATGAGAGAGAAACATCACTGACCAGCTGCATCCTGCACATCCCACACTGGGATGGAGCCGGAAACCCGGGCATGCACTCTGCCTGGGAATCGAACCGTGACAACTGAGCCACACCGGCCGGGCATCGTTTAGACAAGTTAGACCCATTTAGACTTGTCTGCAACAGTTCTTTGTTCCAGTAATTTTAAAAAAGCCACTCTTTGAATGTTAAACACATCCTTGTTTAGACCAAACCGACGTGACCATGGGATGCTAATGCCGACTGTTTTGATCCCGCAGAGAAGAGCAGGGCCCGGGTCCGCACGCCCCGCCCTCCTGCCCTGATGCTGCGCGCGGAGAGGAGGAGCCCGGCCGGGGACGAAGGACACAAGGTAGGTTTGAGGATGTGAGATCCCGGGCGGGGAGCCTGGGCTGCACACCCTTCCCACCGGCTTCCCCATGGGGCGGCGCGCGTGGATGGTCGGCCAGTCCCTGTGCACGACGATCACCCCCAGACACTGCAGGGAAAGAGCCAGGGGAGAGCAGAGCTCGCTGGGTGTGACCCTCCATCCCATGTCCTTGTCCCCCAATTTCAGGGGAAGCTGTGCCCACAGAGTGGCTGGGCTGCAGCAGGCACCCCTTGGGCAAGGCTGGGTTGGTGTTTGTAGACACCAACACACATTTTTTTAAAATATATACTTTATTGATTTTTTTTTTTTTTTTTTTACAGAGAGGAAGGGAGAGAGATAGAGAGCCAGAAACATCGATGAGAGAGAAACATCAACCAGCTGCCTCCTGCACATCCCCCACTGGGGATGTGCCTGCAATCAAGGTACATGCCCTTGACCAGAATCGAACCCGGGACCTTTCAGTCCGCAGGCCGACGCCCGACGCTCTATCCGCTGAGCCAAACCGGTTTTGGCAACACACATTTTTTTTTTTTAACATGTTCTGGTCTTGGGCCTTCTCTTTGCCCGATGGCCAAGTGGCATGTTCAGGGCCAACCACGAATACCTGGGGCACGCTGCTGCCACGTGAAGAAGCCCAGAGCTCCGCTGTCGTGGCTGCATTTGACAATCCCAATTGGGGCTCATGTGGTCCCGACCTGTAGATGGAGGCCCCTGGTCGCCCAGTGCCTCGCTCACACTCCCTCTCACTCGGCTCTGGTCGGCGGTCTCTGCCTCGGCCTGTGACGGCCCCGTTCGCTGGTTTTCATGCCGGCGGCTTGGCGTTCCAGGCACCACCTCGGTGTCCCCGGCCTCCGCCCCGTCTCAGCGCCCAGGAGCCGGCGTGAACGGATCCCGGATGTCGGTGCACATGAACGTTTTGTTCCTCCGCGAAGGGTTTCGCTCGGAGAGAGCCGAGCTGTACGGGGTGACGTTTATTAATCAGTCTTTCTAGGGCCTTAACTACTTCCTTTATCACTCCGCTCTGCGTGCCTAATTCACTTTTATTGCCTCGGCGTGGAAGGGGAGCCTCACGCCGTGATTAGCCATTTTTCATCACCAACGGGAAGCCGTCACCTGCGCGGGCTCGGGAAGGCGCGGGCCTCGGCAATTAGCGGCTCACGGTCCCAGCGCCCCGAACCTCAGTGTCCGCCCCTCCCAAATCACGGCCCCCGTGTTTCCCCGAGTAATCAGCAGGATCGTCTACCACCCCGCAGCCCCTCATCGGGCTGCGACTGTTCAATTAGCCCCCTAATGGAACCTTCCCCTCGCTTTTCTAATTGGATTAGTGATATAAACGCCCGTCTTAATGTATTTCCCATGCGACCCCTTCAGAACACCCTCTGTCCTGTGAGTCCTGCTTCTCGGCCCCCTTGGATCATAGGAAGCGAAGGCGTGTTCTTCCGCCCCAGAGTTCCCAGAAAGATTGCTCTGACGCTTGTACACGAGGGGCAGCCACCTGCGTGACAAGGCGTTTCCGTGGGGTAGTTACTTGTCGCGAAGAATGGAGGGGCGAGGGGAGACCCAGGACGGCACCGAGGCGCGTGCCTGCCTGGAGGACCCTCCTCTCCGGGGTGACTTGCCGGGCGGTTAGCAGACAGCCCCGCCTGGTGTGCCCGTCCGGGAGGCCACTCAGGAACACTTTCACCTCAGGGCTTCTCGTCCCTCCTCGGCCATCTGGTCCAGATGACAGGAGCCCTCTCGGTCCTCAGCTCACGGGTGAACGGTGTCCACAGGCCACAGCCTCTCTCTGTCGCCCACGGGTGGACAGAGCGCAGTTGGTTGGAGATTTATCTCACCTTTGGGTCTTACAGACACCTGGGTTTTCCTTTAAAAAAATTGTTTTTTAAAATTGGTTTCAGAGAGGAAGGGAGAGGACACATCAGTGATGGGGGAGAATCACTGGTTGGCTCTCCTGCACGCCCACCCCGGGGATCGAGCCTGAGACCCGGGCATGTGCCCTGACCAGGACGCTAGCCATGACCTCCTGGCTCCTAGGTCGATGCTAGCCACGCCCGCTGGCCTTCTTTTTCTTTTTAAATTTAGGGAAAATAAATCTCCCTTTTCTTCTAGGTGTTCACGGCCTCTTTTTTATTTTGTGAATAGAGATACAGAAGCATGGTGTTTTTCAAACCCGGCTGTGCACAAGCCACCTGCACACTCCCCGCCCCTTGACCTCTGGCCGCAGGGGGAGCTCCAGGAGGGGACGGTCTGCAAGGACGGGGCTTGTCGCCGCCTCCTGCCCTCCAGGGTCGGGGATGGGCCAGCCCCAGCTGCACCAGGGCCTCTCGCCGCTTTCGGTTTCTCTGTCTCTGATCGCAGTGTGTTGGTGGCACGGTGACTCCAGCCGCCGGGTCACCCTGTTTCCGGAGATGAATCCCGCGGGCTTGTCTGCCGCCGAGAACTGCCGGCGCCCGGGAGCCACCTCTGGCTGCTCGGCCCGCCTCGCCCCTGCGGGAGCAGACGCGTGGCTCCTTCGGGATAATTAAGGACGAAGTGTCTGAGCCGCTCCCCACGCTCCGTGGTGTCGCGAATTCCATCTTCGCAGCCTAATTGCCTGGCCCCGCCGGCTGCGCTGCTCAGAGCAGGTCATTATCTCGCAGGCACGGTGGGCAGGTCTGTCTGCAGGAGACTTGTTATTCTTTACTCGCCTGCCATTGAAGTTGAGTGTTTGAATAAAAGCATAAAACGGCGCTCTCCTTCTCTTCCCGCCGAAAGGAGCCCCCGCCGATCCTGGTGACGGGAGAGGACAGCGCGGCCAAAGGCAGCAGACCAGTGGCCTCCACGCCGGTGCCCGGCTCCCCCTGGTAAGAGGCCCCGAGCCCTGAGAGCAAGGGGCCAGCGCCTTGCCTTGTCACCAGGGAGAGAGGCACGCTGCTCAGGAGAGGCTGGGCTCACACAGGGACCGGCAGCTCCTGGCAGGGCAGGTGCGGTTCTGCCAATGGGTATTAAAGTAGTAAGAACGCTGGTGCATGTCCACCTGGTAGGGAACGTCGGGGCCTCACGGTTGGGAGCCTTTCTCCCTGAAGAATTGGGGGTGCTTCCTGGTGTCTTAGCACCCCCGGTTCTTCAGGGAGAGGGCAGGCGGCAGGGAGGACCTTGGAGGCCAGGCTAGTGTCCTCAGCAGAGGCCCGTGGGACAGCCAGGTTTTTCCCTGGATGCGCTCTGGCCGGAGGCGAGGCGGTCCCTTTTCTCTGGAAACCAGACCCCCGGGAGGACTTCGGGGGCGACCCGCAAACCCCCCACGCCCTACGTGAACGCCTGTCACTCAGGAGGGCTTTTCCGTTGGCACAGGTGCGTGGTCTGGACGGGCGATGACCGGGTTTTCTTCTTCAACCCCACGATGCAGCTGTCCGTGTGGGAGAAGCCCGAGGACCTGGAGCACCGTGGCGACCTCGACAGGATCCTCCAGGACCCGCCGCACAAGCGCAAGCTGGAGGCCGCGGCCGGTGAGCGCGGGCCGCCCGCGGGCCCCGTGTGTGCGCGTCCGGGCCGGGCGTCCCAGGGAGCGGGCGGGGAGGTGCCGATCCTGGTGGTGGGGGACGCTGACTTGGAAGGAAGCGTGCTTTGTGCTCAGAATCTATAATGGTGCTCTTGGGCCACTTTCTGCAGAAACATCTGGCTTTCTCCCTGTGTTAGTATTTAACCCAGAGCAGGCCTTTCATCCCTCCGCCGCTCCACGGGAGGCATCAGGCAGCATTTCGTTGTCTCAGTGGCTCTCGGACCCCCCTGGAGAGCCCACGTGCTTGGCGAGGGGCCGGGGGTAGGGCAGGGGGCCAGCGGTCGGTCCCAGAACCGGGGGACAACATTCCGCATCTTCAGTCTGGATCTTCCCGGTTAGACCACCCACGATTCCTACCAGCTCTGTGTGGGTGAGCCCCTCCCTCAGTTCCTGGGCCACATGGTGGGGGCACTTGAGGTCAGCTCTGGGCTGACGTGACAAACAGACACTTGGCCCCGTGAAGGAGGGGGTCTTGTTTGATTTTGTGGGTGTTTCGTTGGGTTGGCAATGGCAGTTCTGTCTCTGCTGGTCCGGGGCTCACAGACGGCAGTGGCCTGCTCTTTCCGTCAAACCCAGAGGCCTTTGTCTGACGTCAGAGAGGGGTTCCTACAAGCCTGACATTCTCGCAGCGCCGAGTGGAAGCCACTGCTCCCGGGAAGCCAGCGGTCATCTTTCCGGATGAAGCGATGACAAATCTAATATGTTTGTTTCTCTTAATGTAATGAGAACGTCCTCCAGATTGCTGGAGCCCACGGATGCGAAAAGAGGCGCCTTCTGGGTCCCCAATGAACTGAATCTGTGAAGCCTCAGTCGTGTGGGGGAGGAGAAAACGATTTTCCTCCCACCTCGCTAAGTTCTGGCCGGGCTAACAATCTGATGAGCATGAGGCAGACGAACAGGAGAGAATGTCCCAAATTTCTCGTGGATGTTCATGTGGGGTCCCCTAAGAATGTGGGGCCCGAGGACAGGTCAGGCTGAGGAGGTTTACACGCCATTTGTAGCTGGAGAGGAAGGGTGGTGGGTGGGGTTGTGGTTGGGACTTCAAAGGACAGGAGGCACTCACGTGGGCACGGAAAAACCAGCATTTGGTAACTGCGTGTCGTTGGCCCCTCAGTCACCACGAGGCCTGGCCGGGCGCCTCTGTCTGTGACACTTAGTTCTTAGCACCTGTGGTTAAGAGGATGTAGCTGCCTTCCTGGACAGAGCCTCGATCTAAATATCGGAGGGGGAGTGGGGGAAGAATTCTTTCTGCCTCTTCTGTTTCTTAAAAATTAAAACGTTTCATATCCTAAAGAGGCCCACGTTGGGGTGATGAGCCCTGGCCCCCTCCCCCCAGCTGATTGTAGGCGCAATGGAAATTGGGTCAAGGATTGTTTTCTCCTTTGATAAACAGGTATCCGTTTTTAAAATGTTCATTTTTGTTGATTTCAGAAAGAAAGGGAGAGAGGTAGGAAGATCAATGATGAGAGGGAGGGAGATAGAAAGATCAATGATGAGCGAGAATCATTGACCTGCTGCCTCCTGTACACCCCCCACTGGGGATGGAGCCTACAACCAGGACATGCGCCCTTGACTGGGATCAAACCTGGGACCCTTCAATCCGAAGGCCACCACTCTATCCACCGAGCCAAACCAGCCAGGGCCTGGCACCCATTTTTAGAGGGATATTTACCATGCTGCATATCCTCAGCTGAGGGCTGCAGCAGAGACCCTGGTGGAAGGCTGTGTCTTGAGGCCCATCCCCCGGTGCTGGAGAACTCCGCACGCTGTGGAATGTCAGGAGACCACGCAGCCATGAGAAACCTTAGGTGCATCATGGGAGTGGTCTTATTTGCTGGTGGAAGGCAGATCATGCAGGCAGGCTCCTGGCTTCTTGTTTAGCCTGCATTCTTGCAGATAATTGGGTGCTGCTTTTGCTTATTTATTTATTTTCCACGAGGAGGCAGCTGGCTCATTAGCAGTCCACGCGTAGTCACTCCTGCTTCTCTCATTTGGAACAAACCAGGCCAGGGCCAGCTGAACCCGAAGCACGTCCCACTGAGGCGCTTGCCAGTTCAACACTCAGGAGGACTGCAGAGGGGGGAGGGACGGTGGTAAAAGATAAACTGAGGCACGCTGCACATTTCCACAGTTTATTTGCCCCAAAGTGATTCTCATTGGGGAGCACCGGACCAGAAGTGGTTAGGAGTGCCTCGCCCGCAGGGAAGGACTCGGGTGGGCGAGGGGTGGATGCCCAGAGGGAATGGCTGGCTGGCTGCGGTTTAAAAGCTCAGCTGGCTCCTGTGAGTGGCTGTTCGTGGTGTTTGGATTGATGCCGTAACCGCCAGGCAGGCCCTGGCTGAGATTTCCGGTTCGTTGTGGAGGTGTCTCCACAGGGAGCCTCCTGGTTTCAGGAACGTCATGACAGGGACCTGAATCACCGGGTCCTGGGTCAGCGCTCCATTTCACTCTGGACCAGTGGTCGGCAAACTCATTAGTCCACAGAGCCAAATATCAACAGTACAACAAATGAAATTTCTTTTGAGAGCCAAATGTTTTAAACTTAAACTATATAGGTAGGCACATTGTTATTAACTTAATTAGGGTACGTGGTATTTTATGGAAGAGCCACACTTAAGGGGGCAAAGAACCGCATGTGGCTCTTGAGCCGCAGTTTGCTGACCACTGCTCTAGACTACTCGTCTCATTGTATACTAAAAAAGGGGGAGAAGGGAGCCTCAGATCCCACAAACACCACCGGGAACAACCAGTGAACCCAGCTTCAATGTATTAAGGTGTTTCTGTCTTCCATCCACTTGTTCCCGTGGCTCTAACTACTCTGCCTAGATAGATAGGTGATAATACAGTTACGTGTCGTCACGAAAGTTTTACCCTTGCTTTCTCTTTTAAGAGAGATGTTCTTAAACCAGTAATTTTTAAAACCTGAATCTTAAAGCTACGCCAGTGACCTCGATTCTCCACTTCCTGTTGCCGGGTAGAACTGACCTTTGAATGCACAGCTTCTAATTCCCGGAGACCCACCCACCTTGCTTTGCCGACGGCGGAATGAAGGCAGGAGGCGCTCTGGAGGATAAGCAGGGATTACCAAGCAGCGCTGGTGTCCTTCAGCCGTCAGCCTGTGCCCTGGCTGGTCATCCATCAGGACTCATTAGACCATTCGACCCTAATGACGATAAGAACCAGCTCCAGGAGCGATTGTGATTGGTGGAGACTTTGCTAACTATTATAGATCTGAATGTAGTAATGCCTATTTCTGGTCTGAGATGGAACAATCCAGCATTCCAGTTGATGGCCACTATTTTTCAAGAGGAAGCAAAATAAACGAATTCTATAAAACAACTGCCACATTTAGCTGCTATTAGGTTTAGAGGTGTGTGTGCAGGCATGTGTATGCCTGTGTGTGTGCAGGCATGTGTGCATGTGTGTGCACATGGGCATGCACGTGTGTGTGTTTTTGTGTGTGTGGGTGTATGCATGCATCGTGGTTTTCAGCAGGCATTGAAGTGGGAGCTGAGAGTGTGTTGTGTGGCAGCCCGGGGTGCAGCAGACAGAGCTGCCCGCAAAACTGAGCTGCCCATCATTCAGCAGGTCAGGAAAGGGCCCTTTTTTTCTCTCTGCGAGCAGGGCTGAAAGATTAAGGCGAAGGCCTGAATTATTTTCTAATTATCTCGCAGAGCATCCAGATTTTTTATGGCTCTCGCAGCCGTGCTGTTAGCTGAGAATAAATGCTTGGGAGCGAAAGTGAAATGGAAGGCGCCAGCCCTCACACACATCCGTTCCCGTGGCGGGGTGCTCGGCTATTACGGCCTCTTCCGTGTGGAGGGTACAGATGCTCCTCGGCCTATACCGGTTCCATCCCCATAAGCCCGCCGTAAGTCCACACGCTCACAAGCCACAAATGCACTGAATGCCTTTAACCGGCCAAAGGCCATCGCTCAGCCTCGCCCACCTTAACGGTGCTCAGATCGTCCCATGAGCCCACAGGTAGGAGTTACCTTGGGTTCCATCTGGGGCCATTGCCTGCCTCTCTTTCTCCCCAGAAGCAGGGGACACAGGTGGGTGCTTTGTAGACAGGACGGGATGCGATAACTCAAAACACAACACGGAAGTCCTAATGTTCATTTGTCCTCTCTTCCTTCTTGAGGCAAATATAAAACATCCAGGCACCATTTCACTTTTTAAAAAATATATATATTTTATTGATTTTTTACAGAGAGGAAGGGAGAGGGATAGAGAGCTAGAAACATCAATGAGAGAGAAACATTGACCAGCTGCCTCCTGCACACCCCCTACCAGGGATGTGCCAGCAACCAATGTACATGCCCTTGACCGGAATCGAACCTGGGACCTTTCAGTCCACAGGCCGACGCTCTATCCACTGAGCCAAACCAGTCTCAGCCCGTTTCACTTTGCCATTCCCAAAGCTCCTCAGACATTTAGGGAGCCGACCTTCTTGGGTGGGAGGAGGGGTGCTGTCTTCACAGTCAGCCTGGCTCTTTGAGGTGGACGCGGAGCCAGCAGGAGGGACAGGCGGCCTGCGGGAGAAATCTGAGTATCCGTCCATCGCGGTAGGCAAGCGGAGGGGCCGGGATTGGGGGTTCACGCACAGGGATGCCAGGCAGACGTGGAATGGAAGGGCAGGGGTGAGGGGGTGGACACGCACCTTCATCTCCGTCCCCCGGCCCCTCGGAGGGCCTGCTGCCCCGGGGGCGGGCTGGGACCACTTGTCCCACGAAGGGAGGGGGTTTCTCTTCGGCGGCATGAAAGGACGCGCTCCCGGAGAACCTGGCGGCAGGGCTGGAGGTCCTCACGGAGGGGATCTGCCCAGTTTGCCGATGAGGCTGCAGGGAAGCCGCTGGAGGTTTGCCGGGCAGGGTGCTGACGTCCTCCGTCCTGACGCGCCTTTCTTCCAGGCGAGCACGGCGACGGGGCGGGCTCCGAGGACGGCCGAGAAGACCCGAGCGTGAAGACCAAGAGGAACCGGTAGGGGTCCCGTCCTCCCTCCCCTCCCTCCGCGGAGAAGGAAAGGGACCGTGGGGTCTGTTGGCCGAGCAAAGCGGGGGTTCCACACTAACCAGAAGGCGGGAGGTTTAAGGGTCCTCTCAGCGATGACATGAGGGGGCAGGAGTCTCAGGGGCCCTGGCCTCTGGAGCCTGGAGGAGTGGACGGGGGCATCCAGGGGCTGGGCGGTGCCCTGCGCTGGGGAAGGGGTGGGTTTGGGGTCTGACAGCTCTGGGTGGGCATTCAGGCTCTGCCTCGCTTGCTTTGGGATTTGAGGCAAAGCAGTTCCCCTCCATCTTGGGGTTTCCATTTGTCCAAGGAGGCGGCAGGAGCTTGAGGTGGCGCCTGAGTGAGCTGACCACATGGGGCTTCCTGTCACCCTGGGGAATGGGGGCTCAGGGAAGCCCTTTCCCCAGGAGAGACCGTTCCCACCCCCCTCGGCCAGGATGGAGCGGGTACCCAGGCTGTGTGGCCTGGGGGACGTCACTGCTCCCCTGAGGACCAGGATGGCCAGAACTAGCTTTATGAAAACTATCCGAACTTACATTTAGTGGATGGCACCAAAGTCACTCAGCCACAAGAATATTAAAATCTATTCAGCAAGTTCGCATTTGCCTTTGGCCCATTCTGACTGAACCGAGAGCTCGGCCGCGAGGCCCCCAGCTTCTGAGCCACACGTTTCAGTGGGTGAGCTTGAGCGGGAGGCCAAGCTCCTGGCGCCCCTATTCATCTCGTTTCAAGTTACAACCATACGAGTCTTGTCTCCACTCTTCTATTTTTAACCAATGGAAATCGATTATGGAGAAATCCTAATTATACTCGTTGGAATACACAATTGCAAATCCACTGGTAATTTTCTTTTTTCAAAATTCCGCACAATCGCCTGGGAAGCAAAGCTTGTACGCTCTCCCGGAATAGTTGGTGTATAAATAAGATTTCCTAATGGGCTGAGCAATCGTTTCTTTTCTTGGCACATTTTGCATTAGTAGGATTCTTCCCTATCGCTCCCCTCGTGCGTGAAAACCCTTGTGAGCCTCCCCTCTCCCCCTGCCCTTGGTCTAATGGATGCTCACAATGCCCTGCATGGATAGGGTAGGAAGGCCATGAACTTGGAGGGTGTCGGGAGCGGGGGGCGCACCTGGTCCTGGCCACTAATTGACCTTATGACCTTGAACGCCCCCATCTCGTCCTCCCCAAATGCAGCATGCAGACTCCCCGGTGCCCTGAGAGTCCCCAGGAGGGCACACCGACCCCCAGGAGGGTACACCGTCCCCCAGGAGGGCACACTGTCCCCCAGGAGGGCACACTGACCCCCAGGAGGGCTGTCTTGTGCATCGCAGGGTCAGTGGCACTCCTGACCGCCCCTCCTGGGAGCTGGGAGCACCTCCCCAGTGTGGCAACCACAGATGTCTCCGGACACTGCCCGGCGTCCCAGGAGCAGGTCGCCCGGGGCCAGCCCTGTGTTAGACGTACCTCAGAAAGTCCGGACACACCCTGGCCGGTTTGGCTCAGTGGATAGAGCGCCTGGGGCTGACAGGTCCTAGGGTCGATTCTAGTCAAGGGCGCGTACTTAGGTTGCAGGCTCCATCCCTGGTCCTGGCAAGGCAAATGTGGGAGGCAACCAATCGATGTGTCTCTGTCTTTCCCCCTCTATTCTACTCTCTCTAAAAAAAAACCAAAAACACTAAAAAACAAAACAAAACAAAACAAAAAATGGAAAAATATCCTCAAGTGAGGATTAACAACAACAACAAATGTGACTGCGTGAGGGACTTTACCCACCAAACCCTAGGGTCCCGGTCTCCCTGTTGCCACTGAAGTCTCTGTTTTGGGTTAGAACTCAGGACTACACAGGCCATACATACCCTAAAGGGAGACAAAACGGTTTCGCCATAACCGTCCTCCATGCGTTTGTACAGACCCGAGGCCTCTCCCTGAAAAACGGAGCCAGGTGTGAGCCGATGCTGTGTCAGGCGGTGACCCTCGGCTTCCTCCTCCGTGGGCCCGCGGCTGCCGGCCTCCGGTGCCCCTCCACCAGCCCCTCCGGCTGCCCATCCGCTAGGGCTTCGGTCTGAGCTTTCCGCCCGAAATGCAACAACAGGGTTTGCGTGGCGAGAGCAGACGCCTCCAGCTCTGCGGGGGTGGCCGCACCCGGATTAAAACGAGTTTCCCGAGAACAAGAGCCTTTGCTGATGAAGAGGTCCTCCGAGGGCTTTGCAGGCCGAGATGGGGGGCGTCTAACCCTCTGTGTCTTTGCCCCGAAGGACCGAAGGCCACGTGAGCCCGGGCCCCGAGGAGGCGGAGCGAGAGGACAAGGGCGCCAGGACGCTGCCGCCCCAGATCCTCCTGCCGCTGGAGGAACGGGTGACCCACTTCCGAGACATGCTGCTGGAGAGAGGGGTGAGCACCCGCGCGGGGCGGCTGTCGGGGCCGGGATCCGATCGCGTCCCCCAGGCACGGAGGTCACGTCCAGGAAGCTCCTGTCTGTGTTAGTCCTGCTGGCGCCCGGCCAGCGCCAGGGTCCACCCCTCCCCGAGGGACACCCGGGCTTCCTGACCCAGGTGGGGTGTCCACGGCTATGGGTTCCCCGGACTGTTTTTGGTTTCTAAGATTTCCTCATTGCGGTTGGCTTCTCATCCATGTGAACTCAATGGGGGAAAACACGTTATAATGGATCCCCTCCCAGGGCCTGTGATGTCCCGCTCTGGCCTGTGGGTAGAGGACACGCTGAAACAGGAGGAGAGCCCGTTGGAATTCTTCACAATGGGACTGAACGCGCAGGCAGCTGGGACCCCGAGGGCGAGGGTCATTGCCGTGAGCGCTGTCGGTGACCGTGGGGATTCCAAAGCAAGTTCCCCACAGTCAGCACCCCAGGGCAAGGGCAGTGGGAACAGGGGTGCGGGACCATTCGGAAGAGAGCGCCCCCAGACGGCCGTCTGAGCAGGGCCCTGCAGAGCCGGGCTGGAGCGCGGGCACCAGGGAACACAAGGACCCCGCTCCCAGGAATCAGAGGGGGGTTCTCGCAGCCACGGCCCCCGGAGACCCACCCAGCTTTGCACCAGGACTTGGAATGTTCCCCTCGCTCCCTCTACCAACCATTCACTCCCCAATAAAGCGCAGCCGGGGCCACAGGGGGCTGGAAAGGAACCGGGACGTGGGAACAGAAAGCCACGTGCGAGGGGTTTCCCTAAGTGAGCACGCCACCCAGTTCCACAGGGTGTGCCAGGGGCACGCGGGAGGAGGTCCTGGTGTGAGGAGGTCGCTCTTTGTTTTTTAAGGACGTGTCTTTAAAACTAGAAGCTACACATTCATTTTAGAAAGGGGTGTGGCCCCTCCGACCAGGAAGAAGAGAACTGGGCGAGGGCGGGGCTCGGGGTGGGGTGCGCCTGGCGTCCTGCCCCTTCCCCCTGAGCCATCTGCCCGCCTTTCTCAGGAAGTCCCGGGGGAGGTCAGCCGCTCGAGGCCCATGGAGACCGAGACGCCTCCTTGCCACCCAGGGGATTTGCTCGGCTGGGGCCATCAGACTGGCCTCACGGACCTGGAGGCTAGTACCCAAGGTCACTATGGGTCACCAGCTGTGGTGGCCACCCTGCTCGCTCCTCCTTCCACTCTTGGCACGGGGTCCCTTTCCTGGCCCTGCCCGCTGCCCCTGCCCCGGCCGCCGTCTGATGCCCTGCCTCCCTTCCAGTTGCCCAGTCACTGAGCGAGCCACAGCTCCCGGAGTGCAGGGGCCTTCGGCATTTCTCGAGGCTCCATCGCGTCCCCCCAGGCACGGAGGTCACGTCCAGGAAGCTCCTGTCTGTGTTAGTCCTGCTGGCGCCCGGCCAGCGCCAGGGTCCACCCCTCCCCGAGGGACACCCGGGCTTCCTGACCCAGGTGGGGTGTCCACGGCTATGGGTTCCCACGCTTTCATCTCTTTGCTTTGGAAAGCAAAGACCCACGCTTTCATCTCTTTGCTTTGGAAACCCACCAGCCCTGATTCACCGTCACCGCATCACACTGACCCGCACGAGCTCAGGGCTGCCCGAGGGACCCCCCCTCCCTTCCCGGCGTTTACCTGGGAATGGATCCCAGGGCCTTGGTGGAGCGGTTTTCCTAATGGGATTCCCAGAGCATCCCAGCCTCACGCAGGTGGGAGGCTCCTTTCGGCCTCAGATCCGCCCCGTGAGCATGGGCCTCGGCGAAGGGGAGCCCCAGCCCGGGGGTGGGTTCCCTGGGAGAGAGGCTGCGATGGAGCCCGAGCCCAGACCTCAGGCCCCCCGAGCGGCTCAGAGGAAGCCCCCCCGCAGCCCCGGGCAGCGAAGACCGCGGGAGTGACTGCCGATGGCACCGAGCAAGGCCGCTGTTTACGACGCTGACTGTAAAACAGGCCGGCGGGCTTCGTAAGGGACTCGTGCCCGTGAGGATGCGGTAGCTGAGCCCGTCAGATTTCTAGCTGCTTCACAATGGGGCGCAGAAAGGTCACTGTTTGACGAGCTGCGTGGTTAACACGGTGCTCCATCGCCTTTGTCGGCGGTGAGGCGAGGCCCTGTGGGTGTCCAGTTTACAGGGGCCCGGTTCGAGCTGGGGGCGGGGCCCTCGCGTTGTGGCTTGTAGCACGGAATGGATGGCTCCAGGGAAGCTTTTGTCTTTATTTTGTTTCCCCGCGAACCACACTGCAGCCTCCTTGTAAACCTCGGCGTCCAGAGGGCCAGTGTGATTGAAGCGCCTGCTGCTCATCTCCTCCTGCCTGCGTAGGTGTTCAGAGCGATTTATGGGACCTTCTTCCTTCTGCAGGGCGTCCCTTGGAATAAGGTGACCATATCGTCCCTCTTTCGGCGGGACAGTCCAGACTTTTAACAATTTTTCCTGCATCCTGTGGCGTTTTATAAAAGCCCCGATTTTTGGAAAGAATCTTTCCAATCTTTCCAAAAATCGGGACTTTTTTAAAGCGCCCATGGGACGCAGGAAAAATTGTTAAAAATCTGGACTGTCCCGCCAAAAGCGGGATGATATGGTCACCTTACTTGAGAAGGAAGCATGGCTTTCCCAGGAGCCAGGAAAGAAATGGCCTCTCGGGAGCCACTTGGGAGACTCAGGGCTGCAGGGGCATGGGGTCCCCACAGGGCCCCTCTGTGGGTGAGCTGGGCCCATTTCCCGGCCGTGGGCAGCCTCTGGGAGGCTCGGTGGCCCTGGCTTTGGCTCCCAGGGTTTGGCTCTTGAGTGTGTTAGGATGAGGACGTCCCCCAGTCTCCACCGGCACTGAGACAGCCACTGGCCTGAGGCTGTCGGGGTGAAGTTGGAACAAATGAAGCAGAGGCTCATTGTGGGGGCCTAGGGGGCCGGGGCAGCTGGCACCTTCTCCCCAGCAGCAGGGGGGCCCTGCCTGTGAGTGACGGGTGAACCGCATGGCCGTCCGGGGCCGTCGTGGCACAGGGCCAGCGCACGTGCTGTGAGGGCGCACCCGCCCTCCGGTACAGGTGACAGGGGGCAGGGAGGCGGCCCTGGGCATGAGGGAGGGGAGCGATGTGGGCACCATGACGTCTGCTCCGCGGGGCGCCTCTCTGCTCTGTGGGAAGCTTATCTGCCTCGGGTTCCTATGGCAACGCTTCAGAATCTCACAAGACACATCATAACACCGCTAATAAAGTTATGCTATAAAGGAACGCATGCTTATTATAGAGAATGTGCACAATATTAAGCGTATAAATAAGAAAAGTCCCCCTGAAATGCCACCCTAGGAGACAGTCAGCACACTCACTGGGTACATTTTCTCCCAGCCTTTTTTTAATAACAGAGTTTTTCAAAGTATCAAGAATGAACATTTGATCTCACAGCACAATGAACAGTGAACTATGCTATAGTTAAATGCAGCTGAACATTCATGTTCTAAATATACAGGATATTAAACATTAATAGTTTACCTAGTTTATACACTTGGATACTGTTTCCTCCTTTTAATCATTTACAAATATTAGCATACATTTTTAGAAAATGTTTTTTGTTGAGGCACCAATTGTGGGCTCAAAAATCCTGCATTTCCTTTATTTAGTGCATCTCCTGTTTGGCTGTTTTGAATGATGCTCAGGTGGCAGCCCTTCCACCCCCGCCCCACTCTAGGCTGATCTTGGGGGGCGTGCTCTCCGCAGCCTTGAGCCCTCACCCCACATCCCCGCTTGTAGTGAAGCAGGCTCGCTCGCACAGGGAGGTGCTGGGACCCTGCGGCCGGCTGGCTCGGCCAGTGCCGGGCGGCCAGGAGCTTGGCATTCACTGTTGGTGGTTTTGGGGACCTGCTTGTTCTTGTCCTCAGATTGTGGCTTCCTCCCGGCCTCTCTGCTGTGGCTCCTCCTTCCCGGATGGCCGCCCTGGCCTTTGGGGTGCAGCTCTTCAGCAGTCCCCTCCCCGTTAGCACTGGACAGGGTCTGCCTCGGAGATGGCCCGGGTTCCTAGGATGGGGTTCAATGACCCCGAGTGTGAGAACAGCCCCCAAGTCAATGAAGTCAGCCAAGTATATGGTGGAATAAGAGCCTAAAATTTTATTTATCCATCAAAATAGAAAAAATAACAACAACCCTGAATTAGTGAAATACTGTGAGCACCGGCAGATGAGGGGTGGCCGTCGGGGTGTCCCAGGCCCCTTGCTTCCCTCTGCTTTACCTGCAGGAAACTGCCTCACCTGGCGCCCCCGGGCTCATGGGACTTTCCACAGGCTGACCGCTCCCACCTCTGAGCTCAGGATTAAGCATATCTCTGGGGGCCGTGCTCAACCCAGCAGGGATGGGGACCAGGGTGCACACCCCCACTTCCCTGTCCCTGGGAGACCCATCTCAGGCAGGTTCCGGAACGTTCTTCAGGCCCCTGCCAGGGCTCCTGGGCCACCCGAGGCTTTCTCCTGCCCGGGCCCGTCTCTGTGAGCCTGCAGTCACCTCCCGGGTCCGCTGGCTGCGCCTGAGCCCCTGTCTCGGGCCTGCTTCCCACAAACTCAAAGGATGGCACTGTCTCACTGTCAAGGACACACCAAGGGCACCCCCGCCAGCCTGTCCTCTTCCTTCTGGACGGTGTCCGTCCCCCGCTGCCTGTAACTGCCAGGAGCGCCTGCGCCAGAGGCAGGAGACCCGGGGAGCGTTCCGGGAAATTGGGTAAGAGGGTAATGGTGTGAGAGCTAATTACGGAGCACAGTGTCTGCGGTCAGCCTGAGCCTGCAGACGCGAGGGAGGGCGGAGGATGGCAGGCAGCTCCTCAAGAACTGAAATGGCAGCATCAGGGCTCATGGGGGGCGGCCGAGGGGTGCTCAGGCCAAAGGGATGTTTAAGCGCCATCTTGAGGGGCCGCTGGTCTCCTGTGAGACTAAGCGGCTGTCTTGTCCTCCTGCCCCCAGCGGCCTTGGTGCCCTGAGGACCCGGCACCTGCTTCCCCGCCTCCTCCACCAGGCGAGAGAGGCCTGCTCCTCCCGCCGAGGCCTGTGGTCCATCCCCGAGACCGGCAGCCAGCGTGGGCAGCAGGAGAGAGCCCGGGGCCCACGGGTCACCCACCAGCACAGCGTGTGGGACCATAACATTTGCTTAAAAAACACTCGCTTCCGGAGTAGCTGGGTTTTTGTTTGAGATGGAGCTTCGCCCCTTACGGAGCCCCAGGCCCCCAGGTCTGGTGCTGAGGCAGCGGAGGCTCTGGCTGGGCCCCGATACAGTCAGGCAGGAGGCGACGAGGTGAGGAGGGCGGTGCGGATGCACAGAGGGTCACACGGATGCACACGGAGCCAGGACGGGGTTCCCAGCGGCTCAGAGGGGAGCCCCTGCTTCAGCTGTAACGGAGTGAGCCAGACGGCGCTGACCCCCCTCTCCCGCCCCTCCCCCGGGGGCAGGCCATCGATCCTGTGATTCAGAACTTGGCGAGGCGTCCTTGGCCGTCTTCCTGCCTGTCCTCCCGTCTTTAAGTCCCTGGCCGCTCTGGGACCCAAGGATCGACAGAGACTCAAAATAGCCTTGGCTTTGAAGGTAAAAGCAGCGTCTGCCTTCCGCAGGCGCCCTGCCTGCCCAGGGCTGGTCTGGTGACGGAGGGGCCGTCGCTGGCATCGGGCGCTAAGGGACTCACAGGCTCTCACCTTTAGCCGGAGCTGACCTCTCAGACACTTTACTTAAATGGAATCCATTTTCCTCTGAACGGACTCCCCCAGCGGCCACGTGGCCCTTTGCTCAGAGCTCGGACGGGCTCTGGTGACGCTGGGACTGAGGCGGAGCCATTTCATCCGTGACTTTACTCCTTTGTGCTCAAGACTGTGCAAACCCCACCCCCTGTGGCCTGCTCCCCCCCGGGGGCTTTGGTGAGGGCCTGACTCTGTCCTCTGAGCGGACAGCTCAGTGCTCGGCTGGTCAGGGGGCAGACACAGCACCCCGGGGCTCCCAAACGAGGCTGCTTCCACGAAGCGGCGGTGAAACAGCTGTGGAAGGAAGGGCCGGCCCCAGGGGCTGCAGACAGCACCAGCTTCGACCTTGAGCTGCAGCCTCCCTCCCCCTCCCTCCCTCCAGCCGTGGCATCTGCAGGTGCAGATGGTGCCACCAGGGGCGCTGTGCCAGCCAGCCGCCACGGTGACCTCTGGCCCTGCCCGACGTGGCCACGTTCTGGCGGTGGCATCTGTCGGGTGGGCAGTGGGCCCTGCCGCTCCTCCTGTGCCCGTGCTGTAGACGCCAGCTCTGGTGTCTCCGCTGGAGAAACGGCCGGGAGCAGACAGCCGCTCCGACACAGTGACGTCACAGGGCGTCAAAGGCCCGGAACAGACACGGTGACGTCAGAGGGCCGTCGGCAGCAGGAGAGGAGGGCGGCTGCAGGGGTGAGGGCACGCAGGCCAGCACAGCCCACAGTGGGGGCCACGTCCCATGACTCTGGGGCCCCTCGGGGCTGAGAACGGCCCCAAGAAGCACTCAGCAGGCCCCATCGGGGAGACTTGCCGTCCAACCTGTGAGGACACAGGCCTGGGGGGCTGGGCATTTATCAGAGGCAATCCCGAGACTGAGATGTCACTCAGTTACAGCTGAGGCAGGGGCTCCCCTCTGAGCCGCTGGGAACCCTGTCCTGGCTCTGTGTGCATCCATGTGACCCTCTGTCCGCACCGCCCTCCTCGTCCTCCTCGCCTCCTGCCTGACTGTATCGGGGCCCAGCCAGAGCCGCTGCTGCCTCAGCACCAGACCTGGGGGCCTGGGGCTCCATAAGTGGCGGAGCTACATCCACCTTGAGAGTCCCCATGTCATGCTGTCTGGCTCCCACCTCCGTCCTGGGCCCCATGCCCCGGCACCCCCTCTCGACTGCTCAGGTCCCGCAGGAGGTTAGCTTGGCCGCCCAGAGATGTGACGACACCTGTTTTATCGCCGTAAATTACAGTTGCTGTCGATGTGGCTCATCTCAAATATTCACAGATTGTAGATTCTGTCAAAGGCAAGGATGATTGACTGTTAACTTTTAAAAAATGTATTTTATTACGCATCTACAACTCTGAAGACAGTCAGCAAACTGGTGGAGTGAGCTATGTGACAGCAAGTCCTGGCAGGGCCCACAGGAGACAGACCAAGTGTCACGTGGTTCCTAGGTGGGAAGGGAGAATGACCTCTGAGTGCAGTGGGCTTTGCGAGCAGTCCTGTGGAAGAATCGAGAGAAGGTGAAGTTGACAATATGGAAAACTCGGTGTGGGGTCCATGCTGACTTTGCAATATGCTTGTGACTTCTCTGTAAACCTTAAACCACTGCAAAATAAAATAGTTGAAAAAAATAAAACCCACCTCAAAAAGGGTAAAGTGGGGGTTAAAAATCAACTAAGCCAGGCCAGTGTGGCTCAGCGGTTGAGCATCAACCCCGGAACCAAGAGGTCACTGGTTCGATTCCCAGTCAAGGCACATGCCCAGGTTGTGGGCTCGATCTCCAGTAGGGGGCATGCAGGAGACAGCTGATCAATGATGTTTCTCTCTCGTCCATGTTTCTGTCTCTCTATCCCTCTGTCTTCCCCTCTCTCTCTCTCTCTCTCTCAACCAATAAAGGAAAATGAAAAGTCAACGAAAATGATGCTTCACTCAGACTATTTGCAGGCCGTGCCTCTCCCCGGGCTGCGTGCCCTTTCTCCCTCTAAGCTGTGGCAGACCAGCGTGTCACAGCTCCAAGGATGGACTGGGCTTCGGGTCAGAGACGCGTGGCCCTGAGAGACGTCCCAGGAAGAAATAGGGTCAGGAGAGCAGATGTGAAACTTCCTAACGCTCTCAGCATTGACTTCTTAGAAGTTAACACTTTCAGGCAGCACCACTGTCCTTGGCCGTGACCTTGTCAGCGGGCTGCGGGCTCAGGACAGGTGCTAACGGTGGCTCTGTTGCTCCCCCGTGCAGGTGTCAGCGTTTTCTACGTGGGAGAAAGAATTACATAAGGTCGTGTTCGATCCCCGCTACCTCCTACTGAACTCTGAGGAACGGAAGCAGGTACCAGAGGGCAAGGCTGGGGGACAGCCTGGGGACGCGGCATCGGAATGACCCTCCTGGGAGTACGGCTGGCGGACAGAGGCTGTCGCCCGGGGGAGAGGGGAGGTGTGGACGGTGCCCTAGCCTCAGAGTTTGTGGCCAGCGCGTGGCGGCTGAGGAGGAAGGGTGTCCTGTCACCTGCGTACTGAGCTCGCCCCGGATGCCCTCGTTAGGGAGATGTAAGGTCCGTGGTACGAACGGGGAGACGTAGGAACGGTGTCCCTACGTAAAGGATGGGCGTCTCCACAAAGGGCAGGGCTGGATCGCGGGTAGCTTGCCTGGAGCATGTTTCTCAGGGAGGCCTGCGGACTGGCGCTTGGTCCCCAGGCCCGAGGAGGAAGGGAAGGAGCCGGTGGCCGATGCACTGGGCACGGGCGTCCTCAGAGGGCGCCAGCATTCAGGAGAGACCGCCCCACCCCAGGGAGAGGCGGCAGAGCCTAGGAGGCGTGGAGCTGAGGCTGACCTGATGGGGGGACGACAGCTGGGCCCCCCTCAAAACACACAGTCCTGTTTACAAAGGGAAGCATCCGACTCGGAGTCCGTGAGGGGCCTGCTATCAGCAGCGTGGGCGTGGCGAACCCTGAGGCTCTTGGGGCGCCTGAGGGGAGGGGGGTGAGCCTAGACAGGGAGCAGGGGTCAAGGGCCTGCACACAGACCCGTTTCTATGGTAACGCGTGGTGTTTCACCTTGCTACACTAGAACACGCCATCCTGGGACGAGAGCCAGCGGGGTCTCTGTGGAAAAGCCATACCCCACTCTGAATACAGCCGGCCTGGTTGCTAAGGAGGGACAAAACCTGCCGCGTAAATAAAGTGGCGAGCAAAGGGGGAGGGAAGCGGAGCACTGATCAGGTGGATACACGGCTCTGGGCAGAGGGAGGGCCCGGCTCTCTCTCCAGATTTAAAATCAATAGAGTGGGATTCCCAGGCAGGATGGGGCCATCCGCTCCTGTTTGGACATTATCCCCCGTTCACCTCCGGGTGAGTTAAAACACCAGGCAGCCGGAGATTACAGCACCGCCTGCCGCCAAAGGGGATAAGCCCATCACATCGAGACTTGGTCCCTTTAAGTCCCCTGCGGGATGTCTCTGCTGCTGAGTCGTCAGGGGCGCTCAGCATCCCGTGTGTCTAATCCCAGAGGCTTGTGACGGATGGAATCCCGAACCAGAGACAGGCCGCAGCGTCTGTCAGCCCATCCTGTCCCCTCAGCCCCGCCCCGGTCCCCTCGGCAGGAGGTCCGCCCTCCGCCAGGGCCACTGGGTGGAACGGCACAGAACTGCTCCTTATCCGCCTGATTGGGTCCCATGTGGGATTTTCACTCATCTTGTTGTCTTCGCACACACCTTCAGCTGATGCTCTTTGTCACGTTCCTGAGGCTTGGAGGGCCCCCGACCGCCCTGCTCTGCCAGCTGTGGCTTTAGCCTAGGGGTGTCGAACTCAATCAGAGAAGGGGCCAAAAGCCTAAATCGCGGGCCGAATGGTTTACTGAACAGTCATAAACTGTCATGGTGATGGAAACGCAGCGGAGTGCAGTGATGACAGCGCAGTGCGGGCCACATTGCAAGGCCTGGCGGGACGGATTTGGCCCGCGGGCCTTGTGTTTGACACATGTGCTTTAGCCTCTGGAACGACCCTGTTCCTGATGTCAGCACCACGAGCCACCTGAACCTGCCGGAGGGCGGGCCACCCAGTGCCCCAGAGACGCGGTCCCCGCTGCTGAAGGGGTTTGCCTCCCAGGGCGGGTGGGGCTTCCAAACACACCGCCGGTCAAACTCGGGCAGCCGGTATCCAGGTCAGGTCTCCTCTCGGTCCTTTCCGCATTGACGACCCACCCCAGTGACCTGGAGGCTCTGTGACACCCCGGGAGAGGGGTCCCTGAGCCCACACTCACAGGGGGGTCTTTCTGGAGGCCAGAGGGGGCAGAACCAGGGGCTCCACCGACTCAAAGACAATGGCCATAAGAATGGACTAGAACAGAGTGTGTCCTGGCTGTGATGTGAGAGATGGCGGGACGGGCCTGCAGGTTGCTCTCTGAGACCCATGGCGGCTTCAGGGCTGGGCGTCCACACCGCAGCTCTCCACAGCCAGTCACCCCGGGCAATTTGGTGTCAGGGATGGTGCCTGCAGCAGCCGCATGCTGCCTCCCGGGGAACCCAGGCAGGGTCCTGGGCAGTGACCCCTCACGGGGTCGTCTCCAGGCCTGCTGTCCCGTGTCATGTCTGAGACACACGGTTGCATGTCTGAGACGCAGCCCCCCTCATACTTTTCTCTCGTGTGTGCTCGCAGATATTTGAACAGTTTGTCAAGACGAGGATAAAAGAGGAGTACAAGGAAAAGAAAAGCAAGCTGCTGCTAGCCAAAGAAGAATTCAGAAAACTCCTAGAGGAGTCGAAGGTGTCGCCCAGGTATGGAGAGAAATATGCCAGAAATGGGGGGGAAGGGCTAGAGGTGCCCCCTGGACCAAGGCGGAGCTTCCCCCTGCACCCCAGGAGCCCTACCCGCTCAGGCCAGCGCCCCGCCAGGCTCCGAGGGAGGCAGGTCTGATCGCCTGCACACGGCCCCTGGGCCTCGGCCGCTCTGTAGCTGTCACTGCTCCTGAGCTCCAGGTCCAGGCCTGGGAGGAGCGAAAGCCTTGAGGACCCCGTGCTGGCGAAGGGCCCATGACCCCTCTCCGGGGACCTCACAGGGACTCTCTGGCCTGGCAGTTCCGGGTTCAGGCCATCAATATCGGGGTGCTCACTGCACCCGGCCACTGGGCCGGACTGCAGGATGTCCAGTGGAGAACACAGCCAATAGGGGGCTTCCTCCCCGTAAGGAAGGGTCGGGTAAAACGGCACGATGGAGGCTTACGGAGGTCGTAACCTTGACGGAGGTCATGCCAGAGCCACGCACAGGTCTCTGGCCCTCCGGATAGGGAGCGTTTTCTCGAGGAAAACATGGTCGGCCTGACTCCTAATGATGAGTGAAGACATAAGGGAAGGGTGTGCCAGGCAAGGGAACAGCAGATACCAAGACCCGTGGGAGGTAGCGTGCTCAGAGCGAGTTCGGAGAGGCAGGAAGGCAGGCTCATTGCTAGAGGCCATTGGATGTGCCGATGGGGGAGGAGGGGTCGGTCTGCAAGTGAAAGTAGGCCAGGACCCTGCCAGCCCCAGTGGGAGTAGCCCAGTGTGGGGAGCAGGCGGGTCAGCTGTTGGAGGCCCAGAGCTACTCCCTCTAGTCTGTTGATCCCCCAAACTCCCCGCTCCCCTGGCCCTGCAGCTGGCCCTGCGGGAAGGGGCGCCCTCCCGCTCAGGCACGGCCGGCTGGCACGGTTCCGGAACACCGGGACTCAGCACAGGGCAGGGCTCGCCACGGCCCTCTTGCTTTTCAGAACCACGTTTAAGGAGTTTGCCGAGAAGCACGGCCGGGACCAGAGGTTTCGACTCGTTCAGAAAAGGAAGGACCAAGAGCACTTTTTCAACCAGTTCATCCTTACGCTTAAGAAGCGGGACAAGGAAAACAGACTCAGGCTGCGGAAGATGAGATGAGTGTGCGGACAATGCAATAAGACTGAGCTTTGTGGGAAGGGGCAGGGCGGTGGGGAAGGCCCAGGCTGAGCGGTGGGGCGGGGAGAGGGCCTCCCGGGCTGGCTCAGTCCTCAGAGGATTACTGTTTCATATTGAAGCTTTTTGTATAAGGTGCAGAGTTGGATGCATTTCTAATTGCCATGCCATGTGGGTCCCTTGGTTGTTTCAATTATGCAAATGACTTGTAATATACACGGAGGCTAAACCCACTGCAGGTTGGTAACCGGGCAGGCACGGGCACCGTCTGAAACCACCCCAAGGTGAGCCGACGCTCTGCCACTTCCCTGCACCCCTCCGTGAGTTCCTGCGGTGACAGGGGGGGCCCCCCAGGAGTTCCGGAGCCGGGGCCCGCCTCACTCAAGTGTCCTCACGTCTCCGTCTAGTTTCCTGCGTGGTAGCAATAGGGTCCTTTATCATTCGTCATAGTGACATCCATGAACACCAGGGCACGGGGACGGGGGTGGGGGGCACCCCCAGATGTCGTAGGGTAATCACCTCATACCCCCGGGGCATCCGGCCCGGAGAGGGGGCTGCACTGCCTGTCGGAGGTCCCACCGAGACAGAATTATTTTGTACAAAACCATCCAATAACGTTTGAGTTATTTTTATTGTATGCCCAGAGTGTGCATGGGACTTTTCTCATCATCTTTGTATAGAAAAAAAAAAAAAAATCTAAGATTTTTAAATTAATAAATATTTTAAACCAATGGTGTTTCTGTGGCCGAGTCTTCCCAGGCAACCTCAAGCAGCAAAATGGTGTGGCGACTGCAGGCACTCTGTTTGGAGACATTCCCAAAACATGTATGACGGCACCAAACAAAACTCCTCCTTCCAACGTGAGCGACTCGGGATAAAACCCCGGATAGTGAACGTGTTCTTTGCGTGATGACTCACCCATCTATTCACTCCGGGGGCAGGGAGCGCGGCTTCTGTCCCTGGCCCCCTTCGCCTGCCTCTCGGTCAGTCCCCACAGCCACACAGATCAGGACACACCTGGGCACCGGGGGATCCCTCCATTGGGCTGTCCCTGGTCTTCATGCCAGCACCGTGCCCAGGTCACTCGGTGCGGTTCTGGGCCATGGCTGAGGGGAAGGCCGGGGCCCAGGGGCGTGCTTTCCAGGGCATCACTGGGATTAAACCTTGACCTCCTGGTTTATAGGAGGCGGCCCCCGGGGAAGCCAGTCCCACTCCCATCGCCAGGGTCTAACGGGAACTAGAAACCACCTTGTGATGTGAGCGGGCCGTTTCGTGGAAAGAAGACTAACTGACGATTCATGTTCAGGCCGGAAGGACAGAGCCGGTGGCAGACCGGGGTAGCTGACCTAAGAAGCAGCCACGACCCCCAGGGCTCGGAGGAGCCTCTACAGAGAGTGCCTCCCCGCCCAGCTTGGGTGGCTCAGTGGTTGAGCATTGACCTCTGTACCAGGAGCTCAGAGTTCAACTCCTGGTCAGGGCACATGCCTAGTTGAGACTCAATCCTCAGTAGGGGCATGCAGGAGGTATCCGATCAATGATTCTCTCTCTTCATTAATTTTCCTCTCCCTCCTCTCTGAAATGAATATATGAGAGAAAAGACAGGTTCAGACCTCGCAGGAGAAGGCGCCTCTGCTCTCAGCTGCTCCTGTGCTGGAACCCCCTTTAGGAGCCGGGGAAGCGCCCTGTGTCCTCAGCTGCTGGCTGAGAAAAGAGGATCCTGATCCAGGCGGCCTCCCGGTGCAGAACCAGGTGCTGCAGGAAGCGGCCATTCCCGGCTCCCAGGAGCGGTTCCTTGCATGTCCCACGGTTTGGGTCAGGGCGGGGTCCCTCCGGGACAGCGGGGGTGGCGCGCGCTGACGGCTGCCCGGCGTCACCGTAGCATGGTCACCGCCACTAAATTTTGGCTAAACCACTGGACCGGGGCCGTAATGGGAAGACATAAAAGGGGCCCGCAAAGCATTCAGGATTTTTCGGTTTTATTTAGGATATAAAAGCACTATTTATTATGGTCCCACACACGATAAATATCTCTTGCCACAGGCATCATCGCTTTGCAACTGACGCCGTATTTTAGAAATGGAATGGCCCTTGACGGCCCAGTGATCCGACCGCGTCCACACCGTGTGTGTCCGCTCCGCCTGGGGGTGGCCTCGCTGGGGTGGCCGGGAGGGGACTGTCCCGGAGCTGATTTCCGAGGTCGGTCTGACCTTGGTGGCCGCAAGGCCCGGGCAGCAAAGCCTGGGTTCCTGTGCGGGGCATCCTTTGTCCAGAGTGGTCGCTGCGGCTGAGTCCCCTGCCAATGCCCCTCATCTCTAGCTGGGCAGGGGTGGAGGGGGGCACAACAGCGGGTCGCATGTGGCAATTGGCCATAGCAGACATCGAGCCCCAGCCAGGCCTCAGTCCAGCCCGGTTTGCTCCAGGGCAGCAGAGGAGAAACAGCCCTGCCTCTGGGAGCAGCGAGTGCGGGGAAGGCAGAGGGGCGAAGCGGACTGTGCTGGCCGGGGTGCAATGGCCCTAAGACGACAATGGCACTCAGCTGTCCTCAGCTCGGACCTCTGCCGGACATTCCCCTGCTTCCTGCTTCCACAGGCTGCTCACTCCTGTGCTCCTCGCAGGAACCCACAGGGCCGTCAAGATCGCCCCATTTTACAGACGGACAGTCTGAGTCAAAGAGAGGCAGCGAGCGAACGGGCCGAGGTGCAAGCAAGTGGCCTTGGGGCCCTGGTGTCTCACCACTGCTCAGCAAGACCCCACACAGTCACGCTGGGAGGGGAAGACAGGACCGGCTCTGAGCTCAGTGCTCCCTGCACCCCCTTATCTCCTCCGGGGTACGTGGGCCCTCAGGAGTCCCGGTTCTATGCCTTCCAGGTCTCAGGCGGCAGAAGCCACCAGCCCAGGCCCGTGGAGCTAGCACACCTGCCCCCGTTTCTCTCCAGGGCGGGGCGACGCTCAGCGCTGTTTAAAACAGAGACCGGGGGCCAGAGAGCCCGGCACCAGCGGCCGAGCCTGGGCTGGTCTTTAAAGATCCGATTCCGCTCTTTCCAAGTAGCCCTCCCCGTCCTGGGGGCTGAGGGGGAGCGGGGCCAGGTGAGCCTCAGAGCAGGCTTGATCGATGCCACGCACACCATACCCTTATCCCAGAGACAGCGTCTGGGTCCGCCTGGGCTGCCCAAGGAGTGACCGGTACCTGGGCCAGTGGGGCTGAGGGGTGAGGGAGAGGGGTGTCAGGAGGTGGCAGGTAGGGGAGGGAGGGACACCCAGGCCGCTGGAGCTGGGAGGAGGCCGGCCTTGCCCCATTTGCTGTACTTAATCACCCGACTGAGGTATTATAATCCCATCTTCTTATGTCTCAGGCTGAGATAGGAGAGAGGATATACCGCCTGATTATGCACCGGATAATGTATTAAGCCGGGAAGGTCTTAAAATTAAAACATTTAGGAAGGAATACCTGGGGAGGTAGTTAAAATCCATTAAAATCCTTATCAAATGATGAAAATATCTCGGGGTGGGGGCGGGGGCGGAGGGTGGGATCGGCCTCTTAGCTGTGTTCACTTCCACGATGTTCACATAAGACCAATGTCCATGAAGATACTTGGGATTTAGAAGTCCCTTTGGCCACGGGCTGAGAACCCAGGACAGGGACAGGGCGAGCTCCCAGAGGGGTCCCTACCCATGCGGGGGAGGGTGTCCTGTCACAGACCCGCTGGCTCCCGCTGGGGGTGCCGGCAGCTGCTCGGGCTCCTCCCCTCCCTCCTCTGTCCCTGGCCGGCACCTGCGGGTGCACAGCGCACCTGTGCGGTCCAGGTTGGGGGCCACTCCCCAGTCCTGCTGGCCCCGTCCCCCTGCAGGCCCAGCCCCTGCTCCCGTCAGCCTTGGCGGGCCTGCAGCTGGCCTGAGCCCTGGCTCTCACCCCTGTCCCGGGTGTCAGCCATCACCGGTGTCGGAGGGGACAGCACTGGGACAGAACTGGTTTCTTCTGCTCAGAGCCCAGCCCACCCAGGACCGGTCATGTACGGGGTCACCACGTGGGCAGCCGGGCCACCCCTTACTGCGCTCCTCCGGGATGGGGAGGCTCAGAGGCTGGACACACCTGTCTGCCACCAGGTCCCTGCAGCTTGGAAGGAGCCCTGGACCTCTCTCAGCCTCTGAGGCCTCACCCAGGCCGCCGGCTCCCCTCCCGTTAGGAGGCTCCTCCCTCACGGATTTTGCTTGAGTCCTCACCCTGGCTCTGGAGGAAGCCCAGAGAGGGGGTGATGGTCAGGACAGAGTCGGGGTGCAGCAGGCCCCTCCCCCCCCCCCGCGGCAGCTCCTTCCCGCTGGAGCTCCTGGTAGGCGAGCTTTGCAGAGAGCCCAGGGGCATCGCGGGGCTGTGTGGTGGCCGCTGCTCCCGGAGGGAACGAGGTCCGGGGTGGCCTTGCTGAAAGCTTCACGCATATTTCACACGTTCCTCTCCTCCTCAGCAGCCCTGGCACCGGGCAGACAGCGGGTGTCAGAAAGCACAGACAGAGAGGCTCGGGGCCCAGACTGGCCTGGTGCCGTGGGGGGTCGCGTTGCCAACGGGCTCAGAGGCGCTTTTAGCGGGGAGCCCAGGAGCTCGGAGAAGGAGCCAGCCCGGGACTGGTCGGTGAACAATGGTCCCCGCCTGGCTGTGGGCCGACCTGGTGGAGATCCGTGACGGAGACCCAATGTAGGGAGACCAGGAACACAGGGTGCAGGCGTCCAGGAGGGGGTGCGGCTGACGCGGCCCCGGGGTAACAGGTGTCACGCTGGCGGGCAGGAAGGTGGCTGAGACGCCCACATTCTGAGCCTCTGTCCCTCCCTCTGTGAGAACCAGGCTTCCCTGTGCTCACAGGAGATGAGGATCTGGGAGGAACTAGGCCTTTAAGAGGCTTGCATGATGGAATTTTCCAAAAGTGTAGATTCGGGGAGAGAACAATGGCCCCGGGCACCCTGGTGGCACCCCAGGAGCCAGGCCGAGAGCTGGGTCCTTTGGGTGTGCTACTCCCCCCACCCCCCGCAGGTTGGCTCACACCTGGGCATCTCCTGCGTCTCAGCACCTGGACTCTGGCTCCTGCCTGGGGTCTCAGAGGGAATCCCTGGCCCAGTGGCTGTGACATAAAGAGGGAAAGCTCGGCCCTGGCTCTGATGGTTGGGTTTTGTCCCAGACCCCGAAAGGTTGCGCGTTGGATTCCCAGTCAGGGCACACGCCCAGGTTTTGGGCTCCATGGCTGGTGGGGGCGGTGCAGGAGTCAGACGATTAAGGTGCTCTCCCATCAGTTTCTCTCTCTCCCCCTTCCTCTCCCTTCATCTTTCTCTAAAAATAAATAAATATTCTTTTAAAAAAATCAACACTAGAAATAATTAGGAGAGAGAGAGGAGGCCCTGGCTGGGGCCTCCCTTCCCCCCACGGCCGCCATGGGGCCGAGGACCCCCTCTGGGAGCCGGCTGGGTGCCCAGGGGGAGAGCCCAGGCTGTGGCTTCTTTAGGGCGCGGAGCTGATGAGCTTTCTGGGAAGAGATGCCACGTGATACCCAGCCTGGCTGCCCCCTGCAGGCAGCTCAGACCTCACGCACCCCGCTATTGTTTCTGATTTAATGCTCATTGGCCGGTTAGGTTGCCACACGCGGAGTAGACCTGTTTCCATGGAGATAAAACCTGGGCGTGGGGCCCACACCCGGGCTCACCCCGGGAAGACGGGGTTCTGCACCTGCGATCAGGGCACGGTCTTCC